AAGGTAATTATACTTAACTACTTTAGGTACTTTAATAACTTTAGTAACCTTAGTAGTCTAAATAGAGTAGTTTAAGATATATTAATAGACTAGGTCTAATATATTATAGCTGAATTTAATAAAGTTTTATAGAGTTTTAAGTACTAGAGATTTAAACTTTAATAGCTTATAAATAAACTGAAGTTATTATAAGAACTAACTAGTCTATTTACTTTAGAGGCTATTATAAGGTATAAGAGACTATATAATAAATACTTAAAGTATAATAGTAAAGGGAAACCTTTAAACCTACTAAGTAAAGAATAGCTAACTTTATTAGTACTAAATAGTAAGTTTATACTAATAAATAGACCTCTTAGAAGTAGTTATATTATTTAGGTTTAAGATATAAGAGAGGTAGTTATTACTAAGTTTAAAATAATAAGAGGATAAGATATAGCTATCTCTTATATAAGACACCTTTTATAGTAATTTAAAAGAATAAAGATAGTATATTAGTTACCTTACCTTATTAAAAGTACCTCTTTATAGACCTAATTTATCTTTAGAACTACTTAAGGTAGGTTTATATGCCTTTATAGCTCTACTAGAGCTTTATAGCCTAAGGAAGTTAGATCTTATTAAGTTATAAAGTATTATAATAACTTAAATCCTAGTTTAAAGAGTTCTTTATAGATCTAATTTACTATTAGTTTTAATAATTTTAGAAGATAGGTTAGCTAAAACCTTATTATATTGCTTAAAACGCTAGTTAATCTATATAATACCTAAAGTATCCTCTATATAAAAGACTTCCTCTAAATTAAATATCTTATTATATTAGTGCGTTTTATTATAAGAGATACCTATTATAAGGTCTAAATTTACTTATTAAATACTATATTATAAAATACTAATTAAGAAGAAGAGGGGGTTATTAATATAGACCTCTTTATAGATAAGTATAAGGATAACTTATAGAATTCTAATATAGTTATATATTTCTTATAAGTTAAGTAAAGCTATTTTATTTACTTAATAGTAGATTAGACTAATAAGAAGAGCTACTTTATAGACTTAAACTTTAATTAGTAGAGTAATTAGGAGTTTATTAATACTATTAAAGCTTTTACTACTTAATATAAGCTACTTAAAGCGCCTAAAGACCTTATTACTATCCTATTATAATATACTTAAGTAGTTAATTTAGTATAATAACTTAATAGTTATAGCTATAGAGTTTATTATATTAATTAGGTTTACTACTTTATTATAGAAAGACTTCTTAATACCTATTTTAGTAATAATATTACTACTAATAAGAACTTCTATTATTAAAGCTTTTTACCTCTAGTTAGTAAGTATAAGTTATAGATTATTATTAAGTTTTATAGATATAATTTAATTTATAAGAACCTCTTATTTTATTTTATAATATAAATAGTAGTAGCTTACTTAAGTGAGATAGCTAAGAAAAAAACTATATAGCTATCTTTAGAGTAACCTTTTAGTTTACCCCTACTAATAAACTTATTTTAAATGCTTATAATACTAGTTTAGCCTTTAGTTATTATTTTATTCCTATTAGAAAGCTTAGTTTTTAGCCCTCTAATCTTAAAGAGGTATAATAATTATAATAAACTTATATTTATAACTTCTAGCTATAAGAGTTTTATCTTATTATTATATAAGTTTTTAGTTCCTACTTAAAGCTTTATAACTATAGGTAACTATCCTACTTACCTTCCTAAATAGCTTATTCTAAAGCTAGTAGTAGTTAATTAAGTAGTATATATTAACTAATATATTAACTTTTAGGCTTAAATAGAAACTTATATACTACTTAAGACTTATACTTATAGATTTTTAAAGTTAAGAGGATAGTAAGGATAAGTATATTATAAACTAAAACTTAAATAGAATACTACTTATATAGGAGAAATAGAAGAGGCTTAGGATTATAAGAATACTTACTATAGGTTTTATTAGTAAATATAGTACTCTTATATATATATAAATATATAGGGAATTATCTTCTAGTTTAAAAAGCTAGAGGGAAAATAATTAAGAATAATTAAAATAAGGTTTAGTAGGTTTATTAAATTTTTTAGTATTTTTAGTGTTTAGAGGTTAGATTATTAACCCCCTTTAAGAGGTAAGAAGTTAGTTTAAATATTATTATTAATCCTTATAGATTAGAAATAGAATTTATTTATTTTTTTTAGTAGATTTTTAAGTTTTTAATTTTATTCTTTTTATTTTAGATCTATAAAGTAAATGAGAAGTCTTTTCCTTTTTTTTTTAAGATTATAGGCCTTAAAACTATGGAGTTATATAGCTATAGTAGCTCTATACGCCCTCGGGTGCGTATGCGCTGCTGCGCCGTATAGCTCTCGGCCGCTGGGCCTACGACCATTTCACCACATGTATTCCGAAGTGGGTGAAGAGAGATGTATGTAGGTAGATTCAAAGGTAGTCCATAATACTTTGCACCGGATGAGCATCCTGTCACGGGCCGTTGTGGGGCCATCTCTTGTGGGTCCGGCTGTACCCGGCTGTACTCGGTCCGCCGGCGCCGGGATCTCCCTCCTTCGGCATAGAAGCACGCTGAACCGTCTCGGATTGTGGGACATCACCATTCTAGTCTGACTCGGTGGGACCTCCTCCATTTCTCGATACCTGTGCATTGTGCCATTATCTTGTTTTTGGCCGTGTTGCGATCAAGGCATTCAATGTCACCGAAACCTGATGTCGTTGAGTTTTGTAGTGATGTGTCTACCTATATAGCCGATAAACTGTCAAAGTCAAGTTCATATCCATGCTAAGCTTTGGGGGAAGGTCTGTGACCAAAATTCTCTATGGAGTTAACCCAAATTGGCCCTCCTTGGAGAGGACCCTCTAGAATGCTGTCGTCTACGTAGTTATTCTACCTAGGCCCAGCATGATCAGACCCCCTTGATATGATTGGTCTCTCGATAATCCTTTACACGCACGCAATACCTCCCCCGGATTTTGTCAAGCGAACCAGGCCGGATGGGCTGCCACTTCCCAATAAGGAGCGTCAGCTTGAGCGACATGCATGAGTATGTAAAGCCATCACGTCTCACCAGGAGAGCAATGAGCATCGTGAGAGAATTTCTGAATAGTTAGACTCAGAGTTCAACCAAGACTTTTAGTCAATTATTGATTGTTTATGACTTCACCTGTCCCAATGGAGCCTCGTCGCCAGAGTCCGTCACATTCTCGGGGAACTTTGGTCACTTTGAGTCAACACCTTGATACCCCTACGGAACACAACGGTATGGAAGCAGAACAGATATCCATAGATTGGTCAAGTGCAGAAGAACGCAAGGTGAAGTTGAAGTACGGCACATTTACTGATTCTATTGGCGGCTCGCATTGACATCTTGGTTCACAGGTTGGACATCGTGCTCATCACCACACTCATGCTCGGGTTCTTTGCTCTTCAACTTGACAAAACCAACATCAGCAGCGCTATAACGACCGACTTCATTGATGACATCGGAATCACAAATAATATCGTCAACAGCGGGAACCAGCTTTCACTTGTCGCCATCGTCATTTTCGAAATTCCATCCAACATGATATTGTCCAGGATCGGTGCTCCTTTGTGGTTGACCATCGAATGTCTTGCATGGGGCCTAGTCGCAACCTTCCAAGCTTTCATAACGAACAAAGCATCCTTTTTCGCTACCCGTTTTCTGCTCGGGACCTTCGAAGCTGGATATTTGGCCGGATCTCTAGTCGTCATCGGTATGTTTTATACCAAGACGGAGGTGGCAATGAGAATGACTGTGCTATACACCGCCAATTATCTCGCTGCTGGAACAAGTACTCTCATTGCGGCGGGAGTGTTTCAGATGGACCGTCTGGGTGGCTTCCACGATTGGCAGGTAAGGTCAACCAGTCCGTTTGAGTTCACTGGATTCGAACTAACTTGACAAGTGGCTGTTTGTCATCGACGGAGGTTTTACAATCATCGTCGCATTACTTTTTATGTTTATCCTACCGAAAAGCCCAAGATGGACGCGGCCCGTGGTTGGCATTGCCGCCTTTGATATCTTCACCCAACGTGAACGGGACATCATGACTCGTCGCATCGCACTCGAAGACAGGAGTCGATCAGCCGAGCTATCTCCGATCACCCCGCGAGATGCTCTCCGAGCACTCTGCACGAACTATTACATATGGTTACACTCACTCGTGGCTTTGATCTCCCTTATCCCCAAAGGTGGACTCCTGCTCTATGCACCTACAATAATCAAGAATCTCGGCTTCGACAAGACCACCGCCAACTTGCTAGCCTCGGTATCAAATTACGCTCTCATCTTACTCTCGGTTTTCGCGGCAAGAATATCAGATTGGTTGCAGCTTCGAGGCCCGGTGTGTGGGGCCTGCACGATTTATGCACTTGTATTTGCCGGTGCGCAATATTCCATGGTACTAAGCACGGACAAATGGGGCAAATATGCTGTTTTTGTCATGTTCATGGCCGGTAATGCGACTTTTCAAGGAGTAAACAGTGCATGGCTTGCCTCTAATGTCAAGAGCCCGAAGGATCTTGCAGTTGGCCAAGCTCTCATTGTCATGGCAGCCAATTTGGGTGGTCTCGCCGGCCAACAACTCTTTCGAGACGACGATGCACCGAGGTATACACATGGTTTCTTAGGCATCATCGGTCTGTACTCGGGAACAATGGTGTCGATTATGGGTCTCACCATACTGTACTGGTTCAAGAATCGGAAAGCCGGTGATTGCGATTGTAGAGGGAATGTAGCATTGGGGGGAGAAAAAGACGTGAAATCAAGAAGATTTCAAATTTGACTTGTGGCTTTCTAGGCAACTTCATGGAGGGGATTTCGGTACAAATAGTATTACACACTCTTCGTAATGTATGGAGATATCTCAAATTGATTAATCAAGTAGCTACTTAAGCTTACGATTGAGCCATGCTGGAGACCTTGTCAAGAACGGAGTGTGGAAGCAGGATCAGACGTTTCTCAGGAGAGGGCTGAGCATTGGTTCGCAAGTATGGATCCGGACTGCAACTGAGCCACCGTATCATCTTCTGCGAACAATACCATGCTGTCCTCTGTTGCCGTGTACTTTGGCCACCTGAAGCCATTTCCATCTGTTGGGTCTTTCGAAGGATCTGTTGCGAAGGAAAGCCATAAATCTTCATGACTAGTCAGTGGGTCGAGTCCTGAGCACCGCATTAAATCGACTAACCTTGCATTGCCCCCGCGACTTGCCACTCAAACTCCGTTGAATTTCCACGGTACAAGAAGTGGGTTCCAAAGATGATGGGCAATTCGGCTACATGGGCATATCATTAGCCGGCTTGCGGGCGAATTGTTGAATGAAAAGAGAGCTTACCACTATGCATTGCTCCCAGCCAAGGTACAGGGGAGATGTTGCTAAAGTTTCCAGCGTACTCATAGTAGTAAGTTATGAAACCGGCTGACTCGCGGTTGCTGAGCTTCAGATTAGCGAAATGCTCATGTACACTGGTCTACGGAGAGCCATACGCGACTTCTTGGGATACTGGACAGTTGATAGACTTTAGACCATTCTCATATTGGCCCGGGAGCATGCCGTTAGGGTCGTATGATCCGAGGGACGCCCCTTCGTTGGCGTTCGATCCGGTCATGTATGGCTTTGAAGTATGAGTCACATAGTACTAGGGATGGCGAGGGGATATCATACCACGTCTGCGAACTTTCCTTCGAAGAGGCGCTGTGATGAGTTGGTAAAGGCTGTCATGTTATCGACCACTGGACGAAACCCTAAACCTGTGCCACCAAAGCTGAGGGTGTCCTGGATCACTTTGGCGTCTAGATTCTGCATGCATTGAAGCTCGATCTCTGCGGTCAAATTCGAGCATCCAAAAGATCCAGCAAATTTCGTGAAGGTCGTGTGCTCAGGATCGCTCACAGTCAAAGTTGAAGCGGCGCCGGAGTCTGCAATTAATCCCGAGACAATGGGATCCTCGAACCAGGCATATCCATACATGCCTACTGACATGCCGCCGGCTGACTGACCCCACAGAGTTATCTTGTCTGGGTCGCCGCCAAAAGCGGCGATGTTATCCCTTGCCCACTCGACGACGAGTCTCTGGTCAAGGAGTCCAGCATTCTGAGGAGCAGATCTTGCGTTGGGAAAGCCGAAGATGTTGACGCGGTAGTTCATTATGACAAAGATATGGCCTTGGGTTTTCTGAATCCATTGATCTGGGATCTTGTACAGCGAGTCGGCCCCTCCGCCGGTGAACCCACCGCCTGGAATGTAGATAAATACCGGGAGCCTTTCGGCTATCGGGTCTAGCGGGGCGTATATGTTGATATACAGGCAGTCTTCTGATTGTCCGCCGTTGATAAGAAACTCCGGGACGTAGTCGGTGTAAGCTGAGCTGGCGTTACTGAGCTGCTGCATGCAGGATGGCTGGTACGAAGTCGTTGTCAAGTTCCCAAACGGTGTCTTGGGTTGAGGCGGCAAGAACCGAAGAGATCCAACTGGCGGCTCAGCGTAAGGAACGCCGAGCCACTGCCGAACGTCTGGGGTTGTCTCATTGATGAGACCTGTTACGCTCCCAGCCGTGGTGTGGATCGTCAGAGAGCTCGGACTTTGCTGTTGAGATAGGTTTGGAACCCCCCTGGCGCCCACGGCCAGGGAAAGAAACCCGTAGACCAATAGAACGACGGACTGCATGGTGAAGAAGATTCCCGCAGACAGGAGTTCTCGTGTCTGGCAAGTGGCACCTGAGAGAGAGAAAGGCAAGGGAGCATCCCATCTGAGTGCGAAACATTTGTGCCATTTTATCAACCCAGACAAGCCCACTTATGCTGGTCCAGCCGAGAGATGGCAGCAGGAGGACTACTAGGTTGTGCAATGGCACTAGGGCGACTTGCAACCCATCTGGGCGATTTGCAGCCAAACCGGTAGAATATTTAAGAGAAACCCATGTCAAGAATCATCGTTTGATTACGTTCCCCGCATTTGAAGCTACATTGGGTCTACAAGGTGGTTATCAATGTCGACTTTTCCCCCAGACCCCGGATTCTCCAATGCGGGGTTGCATTTTAGTTTGTTTAATGCGGGGATAATGGCAAATACTACCTGCAAGACATCACCTGGCGCCTTTTGGATAAACTATCATGACAACTCGGCAGTATTGATGACTTTCAGTTGATCGTGCCGGCTATGACGGATGGGCCGGCTCAAAAGGCTTTGCTTAAACGTTGATTTCGTCATCCGCCCCCAAGAAATACTTGTTACTGAGAGTGAAACCATCCTAATGCCCAATATTCTGCCTTCAAGAGACCAAAAGCGGATGTAATGTGATTGATGAAGTCTAAACTATGGAAGGAGTGGCGTAAACCAAACAGTATGTACGAGGCAACCTTGGAGGCTCGAGCTTCTGTGAGCACCCAATTAGTCCTCCAGATATAATCAGCTCGAAGCTCTACTGAGACGACATTCCTAGGAACCTCTGAAGTAACGAAATCAATCGGTTCAGATGAAAGCCCTCCAAGATCTTGGCAAGGCGGTTGGACCGCTTTGCTTGGACCTTGTCGAAAATGAGAGTGTCAAAGAGTTCGTTCGAAAATCGATCCTGCAAATCTTTCAGACCCCAACCAGCCTTGCTCCCAATCTCGGCAAGGACTTTGCGGAATTCCTCAATCTCTGCCTTGTAGTCCTCTTTCTTCAGCTTCTCCAACCAGGGTTTGCCATTGACTTGGAACTTTTCCCACTCTTTAGCCCAGTGAGGACGAACACGCAGCGGCTTTTGAGTTCGTGGGTCCTTCAAGCTCATCCACTTGTCGAGCACTTGTTGCGCGAAGCCAGCCCACTTGTCAACGGGTGTCGCTTGCAAAGTAAGTATTTCAATGGCACATGTTCCCAGCTGATTGTGTCGCTGAGGAGCCATGATAATATCACTGCCTCCCATGATTCTCATTTCCAGAGGCATGCTCATGGGGCAATCCTTGATATTGGCATATGCCAGGAGGATTGCGTCCCACCAAGCACGCTGGACCGTAGCATAGTCAATATCAACACGATCCTGTCTGGTTGATCCAGTGCGGTTCTTAGAGACGAGAGGAATTTCAACCTCCATGTCTCTGACCCGGACATTTTGTATGGCTCTTTGGAAGTGCAAGGCGTCTGGGACGTAGGTAGTGACCCTTTTGGTTGGAAGAGCATTGGTTCCCGCCAGAGAAATGAGTGTTACGACAGACTCTCGAATGCCAGTCAGATCAATCAACTTCTTCAGGAAGTCCGCGTTCTGTAGAATGTTCATCGTAACAGATTGTACGAAGGAGAGAAATATCTGCCCGTTGTCTGGAAACTCGACGACGTTGCTGCTGTCCGTGGTGTCGTTCCAGCAGTTGACCCATACTTTTTGAGAATATGGAAACCAGAACCATTCGGAATAGTAATCATTCGTAGCCTGGCGTTCAAAATCAAGTTGGCGCTCTTGTTTCTCCTTTGCGCTCAACGCCTTCCAAGGCGATAAAAGCACTGGAGGGATGAGCTTCTCGTCCAAGTCGGGAGGAGGAGGGATGGCATGAGTCACAGGCACTGTCTTGGGTTCCAACTGGGCATAGGTCATTGGGGGCATCTCGAATGTTATGTGCGTGACAACCCCCATCAGCCCGAATGCACCACTGGCAGCACGAAGATGTTCAGGCTTAGTGACGAACCTTGCCTCGCCGTTGGCATCCACATAGTCGATGCGCCGGACAATGTCGCTCAATGTTTTGTGTCGTCGACCGGCACCGTGGCAAATTGGGGCATTGGATCCGCCCATGGTGATTTCAACCATAATAACGTTCATCGGCAGGGTGACTCGTTTGTTCTGAATACACCACTGGCGAAGCCTCTCATTGGTGCAAGCTGCACCGACCTTGACCAGGTAGTTTCCTTCCTCGTTCGGCTTGGCGGAAATCAACTCAATGTCTTCCAATTCCGTCGGCTCGTCCTGTCTGAAGGGCCAGAATGGGAGAGCGGTGGTGTTAGGAAGCTTCGTAGCTTCCTTCAGGCCAAGAAAAGAAATCAGGATGTTCTTTCCAGGCCCGTCTCTGCCGAATACAGGGGACCAGGAATGACCCAATTTTCCGGTCAGCACTAAATACAACCCTTTGCAATACGATTGAAACTGACGAAAGCCTGCACAACGCACGCCCATGTTTTGCTCTTTTGCGAACTTGACGATCAATTGGACCTCTTTGACAGACTTGGGAACACATGTTAGGTACGGGGTGTTCTCTACTGTCAGTCCCCAATTCTGAAACTTTGTGTCATAGTACACCTGCCTTTGGTCAGCCAGTAGACCTCTTTTCTAGCCTTAGGCAGGACATGTACGCACCAGAATGCCTGCTCCTTCAAGTTCATCCTGGTGAAGTTGGGTGAAGGCTCTCATGTCGGCAAGCAGAGATCGTAGGATTTGGACGGCAGGAGAGTCGGCCAAGTGTTCTATGTGCTGCTCTCTAAGCTTGGTGATGCCCTGTGCCCCAATGTGAAGAATGCAAGCGGCTTGGCAGAGGTTTTCTAACTCTTCTCGACATCCTAGGCTTGGGCCCATGTTGTATTGCTTGCCTAGGTTCTTCGGGTCACCAGCCTCCCCGCCTTCCAAGAACCTTTCGATGAGGTTTTGTTCATCATCAGTATGCCTGCGTAGGATGGATGAGTAGGTACCGTCGGTCTCCGAGTCTTTGAAGACTCTCAAAAGTCTTCGGATGAAGTGCACATGATCGACCTCAACATCCGGATTGACGTAATCAGCAAGCAGATCTTTCAGACCAGGTACATCCTTGGCACTGAACTTGACGGAGTGGTCTAAGCTGTCGACGATAAACTGAAGTCGATCGTTGACCGTACAGTCCCAAGCGGTTGGGGGCGCCATGGGGGACAAAAGAAATCCTCAAGTTGGTATGAAACCGGAAGTTGAGGCAATTCAGGAGATGAAAGGAATGCGAAATCGACCACTTTGAGTGTACTGACAAAGACCTTTATAAACCGGTCGACGCAGGCCACAGTTTTATATCACCTGGATTACACCTGGAGATAAGGCAGTGTTACTCGCGTCAATAAAAGTTCCTGTTTCTCTGTGTCAGCCAACTGTATAGTTCCATGTGCGAAGTAAGAAAAAGGCAAACGATGATGAGTGTGTGTGTCGTCTCACCTCAGCCTTAACCAAGTCCCGTTGAGTGGCCACAGGAAGGAGGTCCCTCACTTGGCATGCGTCGTAGGATTGAATCAAGTACTAGATTTTGGGAAACACAAACGCAGCGTGGTATGTGCGGGCTATATCAAACATATAACAAATTTGCGAGGGCGTTTTCTAGCGCAATTAACAGCACCGAATTGACGAACGTTCGTCGACTTGCCTGATCTATGACAACGATGGTATCGTAAGATATATTTTGTAGGACAGTTTGATTCCAATTGAATTGAGTCACAGGGCATTACCAGTCAGCCGCATTGGGTTGTAATATTGGCGGCTGAAATAGTGTCTGACTGGTATGTCGCGTGCGCTCCGTGAGGGTGTCGTGTTGCTGACAACTAAAAGCGCGCGTACCCAGCGCGCCTCGACGGCTAGTCACGAGAATTAATTTAGACATTGCTCTTTTGAGTGAACAATGTGGTCAGCATCGTAGATGTCATCCATGCATTGGCCAGATATCATCCGCCGATCTGACTCTCGACAGAAAGATTCGGTAATTATGCGTACTGGGTTGAAGTATGGCAAGCAAGCCTCTGTGTTTTCGAAACTTCAGGCTTTATCGATGCCGAAAAGACGTAATAGCCAAAAAGTCGCCAGAGTAGGCTTTTGCGATGACCTATGAAGCGTGAAGGTGTCAGAAGCGCGCATCATTCTCACTAATTACGTTTCGTTCCTGCACCACACCAGGTTACTTGTTTGCCGAAGACGCTACCGCAAGCCTCCCGCCCGTGCTTACAGGTACACAGTCATGCTGTCACAAAGGTCAGGCCCACGAAATTTAGTCCTGCTTGGCAGATGTTTGCATGATACCTTTTGAAGCGGGCAAATTAAAGCGTCCCAATAATCGAGAACACGTGAGATCACAAAAGCGTGTTGGAGAATTTAATCGAGCATGACCACGAAGCACATCCTTTGAAATGGCATATATAAGTAGGTGATGGTCTATCTCCAAACCCATGTCCATCCAATGAACACCCCTCCCTCCGTCAGGCTGTGCCAAGTTTCGTTCATAGTTGGGCCAAATAACCCCCCGCAAGAAAAGGCACGGACATTACTCAAGCCAGAGCAGCACCTTCTTGAGGCTGGATTTCAATGAGATTACCATCGGGATCAGCCACAAAGATCAGAGGCTCAGTGTTCGGAGCCAAAGCTGCCTCGATCTGCTTCTTCTCAGCAGAGCTCAGCTGATCAAGAACTTCGGCAGGAAGACCAGTGGCACCAGACACCTTGCCTCCCATAGGGAGCGACTCTCCGTATTTTTTCATGACATTCACATCGGGGAGGTCATCCAATCGGCTTTGCATAGCCTTTATGTCTGGAACCACCATGCCAATATGCGCAAATGTGTTGGGTCGCTCGATACCGGCCTCGATGTTGTTGACAGGGACATCGACATAGATCAGCTCAATCAAGCCTTCGGCATTGTTCTTCTCGCGGTTTAGCTCCAGAGTAGTCTGATAGCCGGTTCCGTTCTTTCCGCCGT